CACCACCACCATCACCACCACCAAACCATCACCACCACCACCACCTCCACCACCATCATCCCATCACCATCACCACCACCACCACCACCACCACCACCATCACCCTTGTCAATATCAGAACACAGGGCTGCGGCTGGGCTCAGTGGTGGAGTTCTTGCCTTACATGCACAGGCCCTGGTTCAATCCCCAGCACTACACAATAAAATAATGATGATAATCAAAATCAGAACACGGACAACAGTAAACAACAAAAGAGGTGAGAGCAGCACACCCTAAATAATCCTACACTGAAATACACAGAACATGTCACAAGGCTTGGGCGTTTTCTTACCCACACAAAAATGGCAGGTGTTAGTTATTAATTATATAGTTAATAGTACATCATTACTAAATGGCCCCACTATGCATATGAGGAGCGCTGAAATTTGAGGGCAGTGAAGTCATGCAGGCAAGTACACAGCAAATATGAGCTCACGCACTTGTGAACTTTCAACCTAGCATATGTCAAAGTGTTAAAATGTCAACCATGACCACACACTCTGGAATAACTTCTTGGAAATTCTAGGCATTTGAGACAGTGAATTTGTAGTAACACATAGTCCAAAAAGAATATTAAAAACAAATGTTTACGTATTAGCAAAAAGGACAGCCTGATTGGAGGCAGAAAACATTGTGGATTTGGTGACATCTGGGCCAGCCTGCTCCTTGCAGGCTCCAGATCAACCATCTCACATTAAAAAAAAAAAAAAAAAAAAAAAAGGACAGCCTGCCAGGTGCAGTGAGCAGGAAGGTCAGGGCCAGCCTGGGTAACTCCGAGAGCTCCTGTCTCCAAAAGGGCTGGGGTCCCACGTGCGAAGCCCCTATCTAGTGCGCATGGGGTCTGCACTTGGGGAAGAAAAACAGACAACTACTTTTTAAAGAACTGTTTTAACGTTGCCTATGGCACTGACAGAGACTATGGAAGGGACAGAGAACAACTGCCTAAGCCCTTAATTTGCTACTTACTAAGCAGCATGGTTTGTGCTTTCTTCTGAGGCAGTCGTGGCCTTAAAAGTGGTTTTTTCTCCCACAGCAAGGGTTTCTCTTGGGCCTCAGGTGCCCAGTAGGTGGCTGAACGCAGAGCTCTGACTCCACGTGGCCCAAGTGTTACAGTCCATATGGTGTGCAATCCCTGCGCAGTGTGTGGCTGGCCCCTGGGCCCGGCTCAGCTGTCAGGCAAGGAAGCCGCCAGCCAGCAGGCAGGCAGGCAGGAGATGCTTATGCGCACAGACAGTGGATCTCCAGCTTCACTAGTGAGATCAGGAGTGGGTCCAAAATTCAAAATTACTCATTAGTGAATAGCACAGGAAAAGCACCCATGGAATCCAGTTGAAGGTGCCATCCCTGCTTCCAGGGTGCTTCTGTATACACAAAAAGATACGTGAAATGCTACATCCAGAAGCCACACCCTGGAAGGGCCCTTTCTGTGAAGCCAGAATGCAGCCTTACTGGCTGCTGCAGCAGCACGGGAGTGCAAGGTATAATTCTTTTTGGCAACGATGAGGATGAATCCCAGAGCACTCCACCAGTGAGCTGCATCGCCAGCCTCCATTTTTATTTTGAGATAACCTCACTAAATTGCTCAGGCTGGCCTTGTACTTGCAATTCTCCTGCCTCAGTCTCCCAAGGATCCAGGGTGACAGCTGTGTGTCCCTACATCTGTTCAATATTTTTATGTGAAAAATTGCCATATGTAACAAAATACAGTGTCTAAAGGAAATGAAGTGCAATTCTACTATGTCAAAGGCCACGTGGAGACAGTGAGGCCAAGGCCAAAGAGGACACCCGCTAACTGCCCAGGGGCTGCACCAGCTGAACCTCCAGAAGACGGGAACTGCCAAGCTGCGGGACTAAGTCAGGTACAGTCGACACAGCAGAGAGGGCACAGGAACTTTACACCACCACCTTGAGTGCTTCTCATTTAGATAACTAAACCACTAGAATGGCTCTCTCTTACACACACATTTCCAGATTAAATACATGTCACCCAACAAATTATGAGTGACAACAAATACAAATACATAGAGCAAAAGCTTAAGAAGAAGGGAGACAGAAGCAGCTGACCAGGCAAGCTTGTTTATGTGAAAGAGCTTGGATGGAAGGGAGAAATCTGTAACAGGTTGCGAGGCAGGGTACACACAAAAGCACAACAATGCAGGCCCACAAAATAATGTGGGGAAAACAAGGATATAAGGTCAGATAACCCAGAGGTCAATACAAAAGATAGGCGTACTACACTATAATACAGAAAAGGTTACACTGTATCAAACACTAGGAAAACTGGAGGTACGAAATACATTTTCAAAATACATGTCTCAAAAGCACTTGATGCTTTTTATCTAAACTACACTGAAGTTCCAATTACATGAAAATTTTACTGAGAAACGTTTTCCTCTATAAATGTCATGAAGAAAATTAATCTATTATGTATAATACTTAGGTTTCATTCAGAGTATTTTATGCTTTTTTGTATTCAAATGCATGTATTTATAAGGCAACTTACACAGCAGGCCAAATATATAACAGGAAAAGATTTAAACAGAAACAGAAGAGGGGCTGGAGAGATAGTTCAGTGTAATATAATAAGTACTTGCCTGGTAAGTGCAAGGTCCATAATTCAATCCCTGGTACCACCCAAAAAAAAAAAAAAAAAAAAGAATCACAGAGCAGGCCAGATAGCTCAAGGGATTAAAGCACCTGCTTCAGTAGACACAGGTGGGGGTGGGGGGCTGGATCACCTGCCTGCCACACCAGCCCCGCCCCCAGGGCAGGCCAAGACAGTGAATGAGACTGGGCACGGTGGCACAAGCCTGTAATTCCAGCACTTTGGGAGGCTGAAAAACAGGATCACTATGAGTCCAATCTGTGTAGTGAGATCCTGTACTAAATAATTTAAAAAAATAAACATCAAGAAACAGAAGAGGGACTGGTGAGATGGCTCAGTGGTCTAAAGCACCTACTGAGAACAAGCTTCGCTAAAGCACAGGGACCGCGGTTCAATCCCCCAGCCCCACATGCCAGCCAGCCC